GGGCGTCCCGACCAAACTTGAGAATTCTCTAGCTCGGTCACATCGAAGTCGATTCGGCTGATTTTTGGACGAATCGATCGCTCTCGTCGAGTTCTCGAAGCACAGCCGAAGAGCTTGCGTCGAAACGGTCGCATACGCTCACATTGAAGTCGGGTTGAAGATTTGGTTTCCACGCAGGTGGACCATGTGCGGCACGCCCGAGTACCTCGCGCCGGAGATCCTGCGCAACGAGGGCCACAACCACGGCGTCGACTTCTGGATGCTGGGGGTGCTGACCTTCGAGCTCGCCCACGGCCAGGGGCCCTTCGTGGCCCAGGACGAGATGGCGCTCTTCGAGCTGATCCTGAAGATGCGGCCCAAGTTCCCGCGCGCGTTCTCGAAGAATTTGAGAGATTTGATCTCGCGGCTCCTCTGCCACCAGAAGAAGCGGTTGGGCAACTCCAAGGAGGGCTGGGGCGCCGTGCGGCGCCAGCTCTGGTTCACGGGCTACGACTGGGACGGCGTCTGGGCGAAGCAGGTCGCGGCGCGGCGTCCCGCGGCCGCGACGACGTTCGAGAGATTCGGGGCGGGAACGCGACGAGCACCGTCGTGCTTGAACACGACGAGACATCGTCACCGTCGTGCTTCGTAGGTCACGGCGCCGCTCAAGCCGTCCGTCGTCGTGCCCGAGCCGAACCCGGACGAGGACGACTTTACGTTGGACCTCACGGAGAAGGAGGACGACGCGGCGCGGCCCGACTGGTGCCCGCGGCTGCCCAAGACGATGCACAAGTGGCGGCCGACGAAGGCCGACGACGCCGTCAACGAGCTCGCGGCCGGCTCGCCGAAGGCGTCGCCCCTGGGCTCGGGCCGGCGCGTCGCGGCGGCGCCCTACGGGTCGCCGGGCCGGGGGAGCCTCGGGAGCCGCCGCCTCGGCGCCGGGAGCCCCGCGTCGTCGCCGTCGAGCCCCGCGTCGCCCGCCGCGCGGAGCCTCCGCGACTAAATTCACGAGCTACTCACGCGTCGTCGCCCCGGGACCGCCGGTCGAGGCGGTTCCGGTTGCGGCCGACGTTGTCCGCGAGGGACGTCTCCGAGCCGACGTACGCGCGCGCGCGCGTGTCGCGGAGGAAGGCCGCGTCGTGGCCCTGGCGGCTCGCGGCGCGCCGCGCGAGCTCGGCGTCGTCCTCGGCGATGGAGTCCTTGGCCTCGTTGCCCCGGTGGTGCCGCAACCGCTCCGCGCGGCGGCCGTCGTGCGCCGCGCCGTCGGACGCGAACTCGGCGAGGCGCCGCGCCTTCTCCTCGTCGCTCAGGTTCACCTTCTCGGGCCGGAAGCGCCGCGCGGCCTGCTCGCGCTCGCGCGCGGCGACGAGGTCGCGGCTCGGTCCCAGCGCCGCGTCGTCGCGGTCCGGCGCGGCGGACCGCTCGCCCTTGCGCAAACCGTAGCCGTCGCCCGCGGGGGGCCTCCGGGGCGGCGGCGGCGACGGGCTCGACGACGGGCTCCGCGCGCGCTTCTTCTCCTTCTTGCTCTTCTTCTTCTTCTTCTTCGCGTCCTTCTTGGCCTTCTTCGCG